CAAGGACAAATGCAAAGTATTCCACTTCAGAACAATCAGTTGCACGCCTGAAAAATGTGAAATAACTCCTTGGATGGAGTACTGCTGAAATGGATCTAGGCATCATAATGGACCACAGGCTAAATATGAGTCAATAGTGTGACACTGTTGCAAAAAAAGAAGGCATGATACTGGGATGTATTAACAAGAGTGCCCTGAGCAAGACATGAGAAGTCATTCTTACAATTGTAGTATCGTGTCCAGTTCTGGACATTGCATTTCAAGGAAGATGTGGAGAAATTGGAGACCATCCAGAGAAGAGCAACAAAATCATTAAAGGTTTAGAAAACGTGACCTATGAGGAAAGACTGAAAGAAATAGCCTGGTTTAGGTTAGAAAAGAGAAGGCTGAGAAGGAGACATGATAGCGGTTTTCAAGTATCTCTTTAAAAAGTGTTACAAAGAGGAGGGAGAAAAATTTGTTCTCCTTGGCCTCAGAGAATAGGACATGAAGTAATGGGCTTAAATTGTAACAAGGGAGGTTTAGGTCGAACATTAGGAAAAACTTCCTAACTGTCAGGGTGGTTAAACACTGGAATAAATTGCCTAGGGAGGCTATGGAATCTCCATCACTGGAGCTATTTAAGAGCAGATTGGACGGACATCTGTCAGGGATGATCTAGACATTGCTTGGTCCTGCCATGAGAGCAGAGGACTGGACTCGATGACTTCTCAAAGCCCGTACCAGTTCTACGATTCTATAAAGCATAGTAGAAATTTAAAATGCAGCATAAGCCTTGAAGAGTGGGAGACTTTGATAAAAATAAAGTTAAGTACGTACATAGGATCTAACATTCTTTTTTATGGGCTCCCAGTTTACACACACTCACGTTCTAATGCTCACCCACAAACCCTATTTTACCTTAGCAAATATCTATATTCACACAGATTGTGGGTTTTCATGCGTATATTAGCATGCACAACATATGTATGTTTTTAGCATGTCATTCAGAAGTCTGCTTTGAACGCTGCCAAAATAGGCTATAAGCTAGTAAGAATGTTTGAAAAAGATGTATACTTGATTTGTCAATACAGCCGCTCCCCGAGTTGCGAACGGTCAAGTTATGACCGTTCACACTTATGACCAAAGCTCTCATGGAGCAGTCGTAAAAGCGGTCCCTGAGTTACGAACAGCATGGTCACGTGTAACTCAATGGGGTCCGAGTTACAAACAGATCGAGTTACGGCCAAGTGTTTGGTCCATAATTCATTCATAACTTGGGGAGAGGCTGTACTCTTTTTAAAATAGGGTTCATTAAATAATTTTCTGTTTGGGGTTATAGTCATTTTAATTAGACAAAATACAGAAAACACTGAAGGAAGTGTATGCCTGCACAGAGGTGGCAGAAAAGTTAGGGATAAAAAGTTAGATTTGAGAACCACAGAGAGTGTTTTAAAGACATGGAGAGAAGAAGAAATATCAGCCTTGACAAATTTACGTAAAGTTATCAGAACAGCTGTAAATTAGATCAAATAAGGTAAATGGCTTATGAGCAACAGAAGCATTTTAAAAACTGATTTAGTTGCAATAAATTATGAGAGCAATACAAAATGGTGCTACGGTTACAGAATTACCATTTTTTCAGGATTACAGGGTTTGCCAAATTGACTTATACACAGCACCAGATGGACTGGGAGTTGTAACTTCATTTTTTGATGATACTGAAGAAACGGGTATATTTGGTACAACACAGAAGACTTGTTCTATGAAAGTACATTGGGGCATGTAAGTATATAGTTTCATGTGTATATATGGGCTAATATACAAGGAACTTGTTTTAAAATTGTTGGTTATAACTGTCAGTCATGCAAACACATAATTTTGCTTGTGTAAAACCCTGTGGGTTTTGCAGATGATGCCTAAGATTTTCAGAAGGGTCCGTGCATCCATTGAACCTTATTTAGGGGCCCACAAATGAAAAAGTGCTTAACAGGTTAACTTTTGAAAGGCTGTCCTGCATCCAGATACAGTGCAATCAAATATAGAGATATGCACAAGTACATACTATATTAATTATTATAGAATTGGAATTAATTAATACCTTAAATTACTGAGCACAATTCAGTTGCCCTTGATAGAGATGTGTGTCTGTTGTTTTAGTGCTATATGTCTATCACTGACTGTTGTGGTTCTTTGAAGGAAACTTCACTACAGGTCACCCCCACTACACTCTAAGCCAATGTCTGGGTCTCACCAGAACCGCCACAGCCACACACTTCACCCTCCAAGTACTGGGGCACGTGCACAGAGTGGCCGGCTGTGAATAGTCCGGGTGTGCAGCTCCAAACTAGCAAGAGCCCCATTTCTTGGAGCAAAGAGCCGCATGCAGCTCGGCCACCCTTGTCTTAATGTTTCACACTGCATTGGTTCAAATTCATTTAAAATAAATTTTAAAAACTGATTGCTCTCTTTTTAGCAAGAGATTGATGATGTATTTCTGTTCCTTTCTTAAATGCATGATCCCTATTCTGTGCAAGTTGGAACTGCAATGGTGGACTCTTGTGGCCCTGGTGGTGGCAAGCCAGAGCCACCTGACCTCAGATATGTGGGGTTAGGTGAACTGGAGAACTAATTCGACCCAGTGTCCACGCTGCTGTTTTTAAGCACACTAGCTTGAGCAGATCTAGCGTGACTTTCTGACCATGCTGGGAATCATTCCTCCCAGTGATATTGGAGTCCATAATTCTAATTTCTGTTGCTACTCTTGGATACCTTTAAAAGTACATAAGAAACTTTGAGATAGAAAAGGGTGATAAATGATACTAGAGGGGCGTTCTATAGGGTTTTTTTCTGTTTTTTGGTTTTTTTTTAATCAATAGAGTTTGAACCTCTCTAGTCTGGCACAGTCCAGGACCTGACCGATAATTGACCTGACCTGAAACAGATAATTCCGGTTCCTGGGGATGAGTCAGCCTGGCCTTGCTGACCCCACACCTGCTTTTGTAGCAACTTCTGAGCCTTGCGTTTCCTGGCCATAAAGAGCTGTTCCCTCTTCTTTAGCAAGCCAGACAATGCCCCTACTCTCTTCACTTCAATGTGCAGTCATTATCAACTACAGGTTGAACCTCTCTAGTCTGGCAGCAGTGTCAAACCAAAGAATTAGCTGGACCGTAGGCAGTCAATATTATTGAACAGCATCGCTAACACTTCCACTGCTTATTGGGCTCTTAAAAGACATTTAGGAGTAAATTAGAACTAAACAGCACAGAACACAGAGTCAGGACTGGTGGCTGTAAACAGATTTTATGGGACTTGGTCACACTCATAAGTGGACATAACATCATGCCGGACCACGGATGTTGCCAGATCAGAGAGTTGACAGGAAAAGACCAGACCAGATTTTATTCTGCACAGGCATAAAGTGTGTGCTAGCGTATTTGTTTTCAGGCTGGAGGCATGATAATAAATGTGGTTCAGTATTTATTTTCTTTTAGTGGACATTGGCATTTGTTTTGAGATACTCTATGAGCCTTACGTTGATGTTTCTTGTAATTCAGTAACACTGAAATATTTAACTGTTTTCTGTCTTATTTAGATGGCTAATTTATGAAGAACCTGGTTTTCAGGGAATTCCTTTAATGTTGGAACCTGGTGAATATCCTAACTTAGCATTTTGGGAGAAGAAGGAAGCATACATTAGGTCCTTGAAACCCTTGAAAATGGTAAAATTAATTTCACTGCTTACACACTATGTAGCTAAGAGATCTAGTGCTAGTATGTTAAAAATAACATTAATATCACAAGATTCTGCAGGGTTCACAAAAATAAACTATAAAATATCATTTTAAATAACTTTCAAAGTAGTATAAACTGCCCGTTGAAGGGTCTTTGGACTCTTATACTTAACGATACCCATAAGAGTTTAATCTTCTTGACTTTGATATTGTGGCCTTTAAAAAAATTTCATCTTAAAGAAGATTGTTTTTGTAAAATACTGATACATATGTAAATATTTTACAAAAACAGAGTTGTTTTTATTTTTGCACTTTTTTTCAGGGTGGCCGCAAAGTTGAATCTATTGAAGAGCCAAAGGTAAAAACCAATTGATATATTAAATGTAATGTAATCACCAGGAGAATAGCTCTTTTAAAACTGGAAACATGGCAACCAGACTCATACACACACATTTACAATGTGAGGTCATAAGTACTGATGTGGTGGCTGGGCTGTGTAAATACGGGGCTGAAACAGCATGATACTACAACGTTTGTCATATCTGAATACCAATCATTAATCGTATCTATGATGGCACAGCAATCACTTGTATAGTGCCTGGATAATAAATATGGGAGCAGACCCCTGAGCCGCCTAGAGATGTTAAATATCGGTTAATTGAATAGTCGATTAGCCTCTTGAATGCTTATCGGTTACTCAACTATTTTATAGTCCCCTGGGGTGGGGCCTCAGCTAGTGTGCTCCGGCCTCACTCCCAAGGATCCCCTCCCTTGCCACTCCGTGCTGCTGCATCTGTATCAGAAGGAGCAGCATGGAATGCCAGGAGGGAGGTGGTCCACGAGGGGAGCCAGTTTAAAAACTAGCTCCCCCCACGGACCAGCTGCCTGTCACTCCATGCTGCTACCTCTCATACAGAGGTAGCAGTGTTGGGTGACAGCATTCCCTGTCTGGGGGTGGGCACAGAGCTCCCGGACACAGCATGAGCCTGAACTGAGCTGGGCTGCCTGCTGGGCTCCTCATACACTTTAAATGCAGAGCCACAGCAGGGGGTAGGTTCCAGACCTGTTGCAAGTCAGGACTGCCTGCTAAAAAATTTACTGGTGAGGGAGGGAGAAATGCGTGTAGTATATGGCATTAACCTATCAGCTTTTGCTTATCAGATAATCGACTACACTATTACATCCCTAGATCCAGTATAGAACCACACTGATATAGTCTGATTCTTTGTTCATTTGTGCTAGTCAATCTTCTGTCAAAACTTGTGACTAATGCACTTTCTCTGCAACTCCTCTGTAGATCATCATTTATGAGGAGCCTTTCTTCACAGGGAAGCACATGACACTGGCATCAGAAATACTCTCTCTTACTGAGGAAGAAAAGGAAAAAGAAGAATCTGGAGAAACTAAGGCACTGCCATTTTCATCAGTGGGGTCTGTAAAAGTGTTGGAAGGAATGTAAGTAGAGGAAAATGACATACATAGTTCTTACAGAATGAAGGGAAGTCTGGTACAAATAATAACTCCATAGTATTGGAAATTGGGTTAGATCAATGCAAATAACTAACAGGAAGGGCCAGTTTCTGTGGTGCATTCCAAGCCTCCAGTGGTGCTCTGGTATCACAAAGCAGGCAGATCTGGCCAGCTGAGATTTCCCCAGATGCAGGCTGATGTCCCCAGCATCTGTGCTGCCACCTTACTCCATTTCCAGGTGGCAATGGCTAGAGCATGCACTGCTCTAGCTGGTGTAGATCAGAGCGGCGCCATATGCTTCTATAACCTACCCTAGGTACTGCACACGTACAGCCCAAGAATAGGGGAGTGCCCCTTTCTGGTGTGTCGTCAAAGAGTGACTCTGAACCTCAGTCTCCTCAGTTCGTCTACCTCAGTGTTTCTCAACCAGTATAAGGGTACTCAAGAGAAGTCTGGGAGGGTACGGCAACACAACTGAAATTTGGAGAGAACTGAATTTTTGGTTTGTTTTACATCGCTTTATTATTTTTGTACTTTTTACACCCAAAAATTTCATCACCTGCCCAACTAAACAAATGTGCTGCAATGGTAGAAAAAAAAATTGTGTGTCTGAAAATTGTAGGTACTGGGGGTACTTTATAAAAATAAAAAAGGTTGAGAAACACTGATCTACCTTCTGAAAGGTTTTATTCAGGTTCTATCTCACTTATCCCTTTTCCACTGGGTTGATCAAAAAGCTAGCTTCCTTTCAGCGGGGTTAAAGTTCAGGAGCTCCTTGCGAAATGAAAGAGAATTCATATATTAGTTCAGTAGTGGTTGTTTTGAAGGATTATGGGATAAATGCAACTCTGTGTATTAGTAGCATGGTTCCATTCTCATGTGCTTTTTTTCCCCCACCCAATATTTAGTTGGGTTGCTTATGAGAAACCAGGATTTGCAGGTCATCAGTATTTTCTGGAAGAAGGAGAGTACCAGGAATGGAAAGATTGGGGTGGTTACAGTGAAGAGCTTCAGTCGCTGCGACCTATTCTAGGTGTAAGTTCCAAGAAGATCTAGTATTTCCTACTGGAGTGCAGTGAAACATTTTATTACATTTTCCTTTGTTTTTGTTTGCTCCAACAGGATGTCTCAAATCCCCATATGATAATGTACAGTGAAAAAGACTTTGGGACTAAAGGTCCCAATATAAATGTGTTAGGAATTATTTCCAATTTGAAAGACACTGGATATGGACTGAGGACCCAATCCATACATGTGTTGAGTGGAGTGTAAGTGATATGTTTAATTACATTTTTTTCATGTTCATGATCCTTTTTAGAATAAATTAGCACATGATTTATTATTTTATTGCTCTCTGCTTTAATGTTAGTGAAGAAATTATTCTGCAAATATACTTCTCTATCTGATCACGCAAGGCAAGGAAGAATGTGGCTGTTTGTAAATAAGTATACTATGAAATTTTTCTTCCATAACTTAACCAGATGTTTTTAGGAAACCTTTTAACTGGCAAAGAATGAATGTATGCAAATTATTTGTTCATGAGAAATTAAATACTGTGTGATGTCATTGTTTTTTGCTATTTTGACTACAACTTTGAGTGTTGTTTGAGGCAGATCATAATAGTTCTGTCCCTCACTTCCCCTTAATACTTAACAAGCTCACAGGTGTGTTGTCAGGATAAATACTTGGAAGGCATTTGTGTGATGTTATGTCGGCCATAATACATTTGTGTTTTTCAGTATATCTTTGAGATAGGACACTTTTTCATAGTGAATATTTGGGGGAGGGGAATATCCTGTTCAGTTTGGATTTGTTCCTCTTTATGATATGTATAAGAAGAAATGTATCTACTTGCAGTTCAGATTATTATGAATCCTTATCAAACATATTCATATAGTCCCCAGAGGACTCAGGTTAACTTTGTGGCCCTACATAAGTTCATTTTGTCACTAAAAAGAGAGTAATAGTTCAATTATCTATTAATGAATGCATGTTTAAAGATTTAGAAAACTGGTGGTATTTCCCAATGTAAAAGTTTAACCTTAGCTTGCTGCTTTCTAATTGGAGCTCTCTACAGGGAGGATTTTACTCGTGAGTCCAGGAGTGCTAGAACAGTGGGGGGGGGGGGGGGGTTATAATAGGGGTGCTAAAAGCTGTTGAACGAAACTGGAAAGCTGGTATGTGATGGAATCCAGTTCAAGCAAGGGATTGTTGCAGTACCCCCGGTACCAGCACCTATGCCTGAGGCTTCTGAGCTCAACAAGTAGCATGACAAATTATAAACATTCCTCCTACTTAGTTTGACCACATGTAAACTGTGGGGGAGGGTTTGATCCGTTTGATATCTTAAGTAAAATATTTTTATTTTAGTTGCTATGGGAAAATAAAATAAAAATTGAATTAAGGTTTATTTTTCACTCTATGCTTGTCTTTTTGGCTAGTATACAATGATGCTTTCCTCTGGAAATATAATTGCTCTGCTTCAAGCCTTCAGGCTAATCCCTTGCTAGGACAAGTATTTTCTACAGCAGTATGTTTTGGAAAGACAAACAAGGGTTAGTTGGAATGTTCCAAGATACGCTGAATTAATGTGGGCGATAGCACTGGAGGAATTTCAGACACACTAGTGCTTGATTCTCCCACCCCAACAGATAGCTAATTTGCATTGAAAGATCCCTCCTGAAACTCAGCCTGCACTATCTTTATGAAAGCAAAACTCCTTTTTGATATAAGTGTGAATTCTGCAAGTATAAGGGCAATAGAATTGAGCTCACTGACTTAGCTGCAAGCATTGTTTTTAAGGAATGCATTTTTTTTTAACCATTTTAGATATTGTTGCAGCCCTTTTTACCTGACAGGTTTTGCACCCTCTCAGCCCCTTTTGTACACTTGGGTACGCAGAGGAATAAAATATGAGAGCCAGTCTCCTCCATCCTAACCTGGATTAGACCTCCAGTCATTGCCTCTCCACAGCCACAGGGTGAAAATCTGATCTCCTGTGCAGTAGGAAGGGACTCCTCCTGACTTCAGCTTTTCACCATTTTTAGCTTTTTAAGAATATCTCCTATTCTGTTGAGGAAAATATTGTTAACCTCAAATACAAAGGTTTTACTGTCTCAGATGATGGGTATGCAGGGGTAGCTGTAAACTAATTTTTATCACATCTAGTTGCTGCCAACTCCTCCTGCAATCTCTCCCGTGCATATTCTGTTCATCTAAATAACTACTTAATACTATTGAACAGTTAATTCAGATACCATGACTGTTACCAAAGGGCTAGCAGACTTTTTTTGCAGTTACATACATATTGTTTCCTATGGATAATAGGGTGTCCATGGGATTTTTTTAACTTGCTAAACTACTACAAGTTGAACCTCTCCATTGTGACACACCCGGGACCTGATTAGTACTGAACCAAAGAACTGGCCACAGGAGATCAGTATTGTCTAGCAGCATTACCAACACTTCTACCACTCACTGGCTTTTAGAAGGTATTTGGAGGTAAATTAGAGCTAAATAACAGCATAGAATAGTGAGAGCCAGGACTGGCAGCTGTAAACAAACTTTATGGGTCCACGGAAAAGTTGGCAATACACATAAGTGGACAGCTAACTAAAATCTTGCCGTACCAGAGAGTGCTAGACTAGCAAGATTTAATCTGTAGTAATTAACATTTCAGATGAACACTGCAGAAACATTTTAAAAAAAAATAATCTTCAGTAAACCAAATCATATTCGTAATGAATATTTGTTTTATAAAGTATTAGGTATCTTTTTGGGAGTACAGATTATATTTCTTCCCTTGCAAAAAAACAATTATTTTATGGCAGTGGTGTAAAATATGAAATATGGGGTACATGAAAGCTGCTAAATTCACTTGGTTTTGAATGTCAGGTTGTCCTACCCTGGAGAATGTACAGCTGGAAAACAACCATTTTCCCATACTTTTACTCATTTGCTTCAGATCTGAAAACCTGGAAGAAGCACATTTAATTGAACAGTGTGCAGTTCATCTTCGGGCCTAGTGAATCAATATATGTATTGAGACAGCAGACTAAGGTGTGAATCAAATGCAAACATGTGGGCATTTGTCCACTAAGAATTCAAAGCTGCCAACTCATTTCACATAGGCCACTGAACAGATAGTAAATGGTAACAGCTTTTGGCCAAAAACCCCTTCCAAATTTGAATCTGTATCTCAAAGACCACATTGTTTAGCTATGTCAAAGGCAGAATAAGAGCACTTGGACTGGTTTAATCAGGCTGCAGTTTTATATTAGATATGAGGGACTGTCTGGCAGAAAAAAGTGAGCTTTGCTGGCAGATCCATCTTCATTCAGTATCATCTTGGGGGAGGGCTTCTGCCAGCCCCCCTCTTTTTCTATATTTGTCCCTCAGCTCTTCTATTGCTGGGACCTTGTCTTTACCTCCCCTCCCCCACCACACTGACCAAGGGTTATGGTGGGCTATTGGAAAGAGGGGTTGGCTCCCTGTCATACCAGACATGAGAACACCTAAACTACCTGCTCCCATTTAACTTTTAACACCTCCTTTTAAGTCCTTTACCAAGCCCATCACTCTCTCCTTTTCCTGTGGAGCACCTGCACTAGACATCCACCCTTGATCCACACTTGATCCCTTCCCTACTCACCGTGGCAAAATCCCCTTTGAGCCAGCTGTAGAGGTTGTGAAAATCCCCTCCCTGCACACTCATACTACCTAAGGTGGGGGAGGGAGACTTTTTTGGGTTGGGGGCTACTGACCCACAGCAAAATCAGTTGGGGGCAGTACACAAAAAAAAAGGGGGGGGGGGAAGGCAGAACCTCACTGTCATGGCCCCAGCTGAGAGAGACATTCCCCTCACACACTAGAGCCCACAGGAGCCCAGTCTAGTAGATTCTGTGTGCTCCAGCCCCGTGATGGGACAGTGGGGTGGCTGGAGTGCCAGTGCCAGCTCCCAATGCTGGGGTTATGGGGCCTGAGTCTTGGGGACTGGAGCCAGGCAAACTGGGGGCCTCCTGAAGTGCCCTACCCCTGACCTAAGGCAATCTGGAGGTGAGGGGAAAAATTCCTTGCCAGCCCTCCTAGAAAGGAACAGCTAGCTGAGCCCATAGCAAGTAGTGACCAAACCTGAAACGTCCTCCACTCAGGAGGAAGGAGAATGGGTATTGCTCCACCTGATCCAGGGATAGGGAGTTTCTCCCTTCTAAATTCCCTGTTTTGAACTTCCTCCTTTTGAACTTCTGGTCCTTGGTGATGAATCAGTCCGGCCATGCTGACCCTCTCCCACTTTTTGTAGCAACTTCTGAGCCTTGCTCCCTCTCCTGGCCATAAAGAGCTATTCCCTCTTCTTTAGCAAGCCAGATAATGCCCCCACCCTCTTCACTTCAATCTAGCAGTTCACGATCAACTAGCAGTTTTCTGGGCTATTGAAATGGAAATACCATTAATTAGGCTGCTATGCTATAGATGCAGTTTGTTAAACTTTTAAATAGTTCTAATACCTTTTTAGAGTAAATATGTAATTTTTGTAAACAAAGATGCAAACATTTCAGTGTTAAGTTTTTTTCAAGAATGACATGTAATGTTTTCAGTTACGCTGTTCTCAAAAATTACATGTCTGTTTCTAAAGTTTACTTTCACTGTTGCATATAGTATACTGTAAACAAATTGGAATAAAACACCACTGTTTATTGCATGCTTCAAAAACAAATAATTACTGGATTCATTCATTTTCCAAAAACCATCCCAGCAAAATGTGTTAGAAAACCCAGGAAATAACTATTTTGTCATCTGAAAAGAGAAACTTTATTAAACTAAAAGTTCCACTTTGCTTTCTTAAGTGAGCTTTGCTATCTGTTTCCATGTTGGCAGCTACCCAGTTGGCTGAAAATGGAAGCATTTAGCTGCAAAAGGTAACACCCTTAAAACAAGTTTAAACAGATACTAAACGAGTTTCTTGCGAGTGTACAGTTTTTCTAATTTCCTGCTTAGTTTGTACTCATCAACCTCACAATCAATATTTGTTTTAAAAATAATAAAATTAACTTTTTATTCAGTCTTATTTATCAAATACAAAGAATTTAAAATAAGGTTTATTTGAAGTGGTTATTGCTCCCTAGAAAGGTTTTTATTACAGACTGTTGTAGGGATATAGGAACTAATCCTGAGTGGTATAGGACCCACATTTCTCAGTCAGTTACCCATGATGGTTCTTTTTTTTTTTTTCATTCAGGTTCGCAACCTGAGGTTCATGTTATATTCCCAGCTACTTCTGGGCTATCCAGACCCAGTAGCTGCAATGTATTTTCTTTAATACTATGCTTAGAAACAAAGTCCTGATGACTTTTTTTTTTTTTTTTTTTGCATATAGACCTTGCCCCAGTTATGTTGGGCTTTGTAATTTTGAGACTGGAATACTGTGGTGCACCTTAGAGAGTGATTTACTTGAAGATCACTCAAGCTTCAGCTAGTGCACAATATGTACTTCCAATGATCATGTTACTCCCCCTCAGTTTGCACTGGATTTCAGCTGATTTCTGAGTGTTCTTAAAGGTGTTTGTTTTGATCTGGAAACCCACTAATGGGGCCCTGATTCAGAAAACCACTTAAGCACACAGGAAGGTCATTTCCTGTTAAGCACAGCACCGATTTACTCAAGTCCCATTGACTTCAGAGGAACTTAATCATATGCGCAAAATTTAAGAACATTAAATGCTGCCACGAATAGGGATGCTTCCCTGAATCAGGACTCTGGTTTGTTCTTGGATACTTCATGTGAGATACCATGATGCCAGCTGATATGCTAAAGCATACAATTCTCTTTACCTGCCTGGGAAATGGAGGGGGAGTGGTTTTGCAATAGTATGGAAAGATGTTCAAGAGATCTGACATGTATTAACACTCCCACTTAGATTTAATATCACACATACTTATTTTCATGATAGTAAATTTAGCTTGAAATAACTTGACATAATTTGAGAACATTTTAAAAAATGGGATAATTCATGAAGTTTAGTGATATCCAGATGTTTGTGTAATCAAAAGGCTAGTAAACATCTGTTTGAGAAATTGGCCTAGGCAGTTTCATTTTCAAAGCTTTTGGTATATGTGACCTATAGGTACACCCTGTAAACATTATTAACCTTGTGGTTAGTTTACCATACATATCTATGCCACTTTGATTAAATAGTTTTAAAATGACTTGGGTGTGTATTCTGGAATATTCCTTAAATGGTTAGTGAATAGCATGTTAAAAGACTCAGTTATAGATGAGTCAGAAGGAGAGGTAACGTAAAGGATTATACAAATGTGCTCACCATGGACAAAGCTTGTGTACCACCAGTTTTATGTATTTTGTTCTCCTTGTGTCAAATCCTCTGCTGGGAGAAATCAACATGACTTCATTGAAGTCAGTGGAGCTGTCCCACTTTACATCTGCTGAGAATCAGACCCCTTATGCTTTGAATAATAGCTCTGTCATTAGAAACCATAAAATGATTTCCCTCTACTGAAGAACGGAGAAATTGCATATAATAGAAGTTGCTTTACAGTGAAGTAAATGTAAATTCCTTATTTCAATGCATGATGGTATGAAAACTGCTGGTTTGGGCATTGTGACTTGGTGAAATTCTAGGGAAGGGGTCATATTCATAAGTAGGTTTCAATGCAATTGAACATGAGCTCACAGTATGATATGCTAAGAGTGCAAAAGCAATTTTGGGATGTATAAACAAGTACTGAAATGTAGGGCAATGTTATTACCATTGCATACAGTTTTAGCGAGGCTGTTATTGGAATACTGTGTCTAGTTCTGGTCTTGCAGTTGAGAAATGATATTGACAAATAGAAAAAGGTTCAAGAAAAGGTTTAAAAAATTATTTGCTATCTGGAAAATCTGCCTTACACAAAAGAGAATTTTTTTTAGTCTCTATCTTATAACAAAAAGAAGGTTAATAACTGCAAGTGCACATCATGGGGAGACATCTTATAGTAGAGGCTCCTTTAATGTAGTAGACAAATTAATAACAAGATTCAAGGAAGCTGGATGTATTCAGAGAACAAATAAATTGCACATTTTTTTATCAGTGAGAGAAATTACCCAATGGAACAACTTACTTGTGCATATGGTGGATTCCCCATCACTTGAATTCTTTAAATCAAGTTTTGATGTCTTTCTAGAACATGTTCTTGCTGAATTAGAAGTTATAGGCTTGAAGTAGAAATCACTTGATGAAATTCTGTGCTCTTTTATATGCATGTGGTGGGACATAAAGCCTTTGAATCTGTATTTCACTTTGTTAGTGTGACATAGTGGGGGTACTTGCTGGGCTGTGGTGACCTCTGCTGTCTGGAGCAAGACCCAGCAGGGAAAACCTCATTATGCAAAGGTGACTCAAAAAACATGTCTGACCTGCGGCCCCCCATGGGGAGAAACAAAGGGAGGTGGAATGCTGCCCTGGCTGTGGGCAGGGCTGGAAGAGGGGAAGTTAGTTCCTGGCTGGAAGGCAGGGAAGAAGGAACTGGGGAGGGGGCTGGGACTCCCCTATCTCAAGGGGGGCACTGAGGCCTCTTAGCCCCAGTTCCTGTAACCAGATTACATCTGTGCTGCGCTGTGCTGGAGGAACAATAAACAACCTCCATTCTACTGGCTGGTGAAGTCTGTTCATGCCATTTCGGGGTGCAGGAGATGGGAAAATCCCGACGCGTCGTCACAGTTAG